CACACACACACACACACACACACACACACACACACACACACACACACACACACACACACACACACACACACACACACACACACACACACACACACACACACACACACACACACACACACACACACACACACACACACACACACACACACACACGGGGTAAAGTGCTATTTTTATAGGTGGTGTGTGGACCTCACAATTTTTCCTCCTGGTATCTCACGCTCCCCCTGTCATGCCTCTGCACCCCCCCCACTTTGAGAACCACTGTATTAGGATGATGCACAGGAGGGCTACTTTCCATAAGCTATGCTTCAGCCCTCCCGCTTCTACTAATTTTGTTCATCTTTGTGTGTATGAATTATCCTTTTTTAGTTTTTTAGATGAATTAAAAAAAAAAAAAAAACGTTCAGCTTGGGGGCCCCCTAGTGGCCGCGGGGGCCCTATGCATCCGCATAGTCCGCCTAGGAAGAAACGGCCCTGCTGGCTGCTCTCGAAGCGAGCAAAAAAACGGTTCAGCTCATCTGGGAGAGATGCGCACGCAGACACTCCCGCAGCTCCTTTGTAGTCTGTCATTGTTTTTAGTCCCGCCCAGGGGCGGATCTACCGGGGTGGCAACTGCCACCCTAAAAAATAGCCTTGCCACCCCAGTTGGCAGCTTTGTTTTGAAAGAAAAGTTGTGGTCGGACATTTATGAGAGAAAGTCTCTAATGTCCGAGTGCAAGTGAAGGCAGCACAAGACACTAGTCTTGTAACCCCTCCCCCGGCCCTGCCGCGAGCTTGGAAATGTGATTGGCGGTGATTTCATTTGAACGGGGGACACTCGTAGTGATGGGAATTCCGGCTCTTCTTGGTGAGCCGGATCATTTGGCTCGGCTCACCAAGAAGAGCCGGCTCTTTCGGCTCCCAAACGGCTCTTCAGTTTACCACATATTATACCTTTTATAATTCTCAAATGTAGCCCTGTGTTGACAAATGATTTATATGTGTACACATATATCACTTTCATTATTCAATACATCCTTTGTACTGAAGTATTCAAAAGTAAAAATGAAATGTTTAATATAAATGATTTGCTGTGGCCAAATGTTTTCATTGCATTGACACTCTACCTCTCTGATCCCACCCAGTGAATGCACTGCCTTAGAACCATGCTACACAAAGCAGATAGCAACACCTATAACAACTTACGCATAGACATTTAAAAAAGGGGCTACTGTATGGACATTTTAGAATTATATTTAAAGAAAAGGCCCTGACAAAACAGCAGGACTCTATTTCAGTATTAACTATAGAAAGAAAGAAATAACATGGTGAAAATAAATATATTGCAATGCTCAAAACAGCAGCATCCAACCGTCTCTAATCCTTGGATAGTACATGTCACTGCATGCATGCACGGAGCAGCTGTAGCGCGGAGATCATCAAATCATTCTGTCTTAAGTATTACTTAACAAAAACAAAACAAAACGGCTCGTTCGCAGGCGCGAGACAGCTCCCGTCGTTCACTTCGCGACCGACACATCACTAGGGGACAGCGCAAAACGAGAAGCATTCGGAATGAAGCAGACGAAGGAATGAGGTGCGGTTTACAGTGACAGAGAAGAGCCTGTCAGTGCGGCTGCACTCAGCATTGAATCAAAACGCACTGAAGCTGTTGATCTTAATCAGTTTGTGAGGCGTGTTGCTGAACAAGATGGTAATCGCAGCATTCAGCTGTTATAGCCAACTCGATGCTCTGCTCACGGATGACTCGATGAGCATAACAAACTGTTAAGATGATGTGTGTAAATCTTTTTTTGGTCTGCCCCCAAAAAACAGTTTCAAGTCCTGATAAAGTAAAATAAGACGTACAACTTCACTGCCCAGCCAACATAAAGTAACCACTTTGATTTAACTGCAGCGATATGTTTGAGCTGAACACACGTTCTTTAACCCTAACTGATGCAGTTAGTCACTTCTTTAATGTTTGTTCTTTCTGATGTAAAGTCAGGGTTGTAACTGTTTGCAGTGAAGTCGTGGGGCGCTGAACTTTTCTTTTGAATCCTTTGAATTTATCCTTTGATATAATTACTTGTCTTTCAAATTTGAAGGAGGGTGAGCAAGCATCTTGAGGAACATTCATCATTAACTCCTCCAAAAAATATAGTTTATTCAATAATAAATTAATATGTGAATCATAAGAGTGATTGACAGCTGATAGGAATAATATGATTGTCTAAATGATACTATTAACAAACATCGATGAGACAGTTAATGAATGTACTTATTGCAGCTGTCTGCATAGATTTGGTACCTCTGCTGGTCTAAGAGTGAAACAAACTCGTTCAGTTAAAATTCATTAAATGATGTCTGCCATCTTTATATATCTCTATTTAAGGCTTTACTGATGTGCGACAATGTCACCTGATGTTATCGAGTTAAAATATCAATATTGTGGCTTTCCAAGTTAACATTGATTGATATGACTGCGATTAAATCGGCATACTTCTGCCAGGGGGTGCCACCCCTCAAAATCTCCTGCCACCCCATGGATATTTATCTAGTCCCGCCCACATGTTCCGGGTGTTACTTCCTCTGAAGTCAGACTCCACCTTCTCTTTGTATTGTCTCTTTGCGCTGCTAATTGCTCTCCGGAGTTCATACCTAGATTCCCTAAACTCCTCCAGATCTCCAGCTCTGTGCGCGCTTTCAGCTTGGTTCGCACCTCGCCGTTATCCAGGGCTTTTGATTCGGGAATGTTCGTACACAAACCTTCGGTACCACTTCATCGATGCATTTCCCAATATAGCAGATGACCGTGTCCGTATGTGTGTTGATGTCCTCAAACACACTCCATACAGTAGCTGCAAAGCAGTGCTGCAGAGCTGAGTCTGCTTGTAAGCAGGCGGCAGCAGTGGCGGCAGCAGCGAGATGTGGTCTGATTTGCCGAAGGGAGGGCCAGTATGTTCCCCCCGCGCGTCGGACAGCTGATGTGTTGGTAGTATTTCGGCAGGACTTTCTTCATGTTAGCAGTGTTAAAATCCCCGGCCACAACGAACGCCGCCCCCTAACCTTTGACCCGAGGGCACGACTCGCTCAGAGATTTACAAAAACCTAAAGAACTAGAGGAGAGGGAACACCACCAAAGAAGAAGAGGGGCACAGTGGGTCATTTGAAAGCTAACTTTAGGAAGCAACAATGACATTCTGGTTTGAATCATTCTGTGTGAAGCTTCTCCGGGATCAGATGTTTATTCTGAATATATTATATATATAACAGGGTTCATACACTTTTTCACCAATGATTTTCAATGACTTTTCCATGACTTCTCAATGACCTTTACCTAATTTTCCATGACCAAAAAAAAATTACCACTGAAAATGGTTTATTTTAACATGGAACAGGAAAATAAGGTCTGCATATGAAACATGTTGTGCCTATCTAAAACAAATCAAATAGTAGGCTTCTACACGCTAAGCAATTGCAGTCAGGGAGGCAAAGTCATCAGGTATGAAAAAGGTGACAAGGATCCGAGCCCCCGACCCCACGGAATATCGGCTTTAAAATGAGGAATAACAGGATTTTAGCAGTCAGAACAACTAAAGCAGCAGGTAATAATAACAGAAACGCCAAAGAGTTACATCTAATAGAAATATATAAAAGCATTTATTTTAATTGTGTAGCAGTCAGTTTATAATTCTGGCAGCACTGTTGAGCATTTTGAAAATGTATTTTCATGCCTCTGTGCAAGCTATCTTTATAGCCACTGGTGTAAAGTAACCAAGTTCATAAACTCATGTACTACTTGGGTACAATTGAGATACTTGTACTTTATTTAAGTATTTCAATGGTTTGCTACTTTGTTCTTCTTCTCCACTACAGTTCAGAGGTACATGGTGTACTTCTACTCCACTACATGTATTTAATACCTTTAGTTACTTCACAGATGTGGATGAATGATGTGAAATATAATCAAGTGTTGAATCAGACTTTAGTTCCACCTGGAGTAAATCCACCAGCTACCCTGCAGTATACAAAGTACTTCAAACTAGCTGCACCTTCACCAGCTTTGAGAACACTTTCATGATCAATCATTATAAAACATATATATATATTATTCTGAAATGGACCAATCTGCACAACGACTACTTTCACTATATTTTGATGATAATACTTTTGTACTTTTATTTGAGGAACATTTTGAATGCAGGACTTTTACTGTAACAGAGTATTCCTACACTCTGGTACTTCTACTTTTACTCAAGTACAAGATCTGAGTACTTCTACTTTACTCAAGTAGAAGATCTGAGTACTTCTACTTTTACTCAAGTACAAGATCTGAGTACTTCTACTCTAGCACAATATCTATACTTTTACCACCTCTGTTTATAGCCTATGAAAAAAACGATTAGAAAACGAAGGCTAAAGCTACCGTTAGCAGATAGTGACAATGTATGCTAGCTAGCTAGCTCAACGATTCCTTAAATAATATTGCGAAAGAAAGACTTTTCAGTTCACATCACGCTCTGCCGCTCCGACAGAGAGCTCTGCTCTGAACACCTGAACGGCCTGTTCTAACAGCTGTTCACCAGCGGCTCAGTCTGTGCCACAGTGACTCCGCACAGTTAATGAACGCACCGTAGCTAATGTAGCTGACCCTCATCCCGGAGCAGCAGAGTTCAGCCGACAGGCAGGAAGACTTGAGCACACAGCTCGCGCTTCATATATTAAAAAATAACACCATGCGCGTCATGATGGCACATAACAGCTCGCGACCGCAGATTATTTCGGCGATTAGATAAAATGTAAATTATATTTGACGCAACTTTAGTTACATTTCCATGACTTTTCCAAAACTTTGGGGAAAATATTGTTTTCCATAACTTTTCCAGGGCCTGGAATTTGCATTTTGAATTTATTTCCATGACTTTTCCAGGTTTTCGATGACCGTACGAACCCTGATATAAAGATGAGACCCTTGGTGATGTCAACGTGAGGAAAGAACATGTGACCCAGAGTCTTCCTCAGAAACTTCATCAGCTTTATTTTCTAACAAAAGACAGGAAACTGTAAAAACATAACGAGCACACTTCCTGCTGACCTCAAAGGTAAAGTCTGCACGGAGGCGTCTGATTGGCCGAGCCACTATGACGTCATCATACGAGGCGCAATGCTCATCGACATCAACTCCTGGAAGAGAAGCTTACAGGCGTACGGCATGCGCACCAGCGAGATCTGTGGGGGGGACAGGTGAGAGAAAATACACCTGGTTAGTGGGGACAGGTGAGAGAAAATACACCTGGTTAGGGGGGACAGGTGAGAGAAAATACACCTGGTTAGTGGGGACAGGTGAGAGAAAATACACCTGGTTAGTGGGGACAGGTGAGAGAAAATACACCTGGTTAGGGGGGACAGGTGAGAGAAAATACACCTGGTTAGTGGGGACAGGTGAGAGAAAATACACCTGGTTAGGGGGGACAGGTGAGAGAAAATACACCTGGTTAGTGGGGACAGGTGAGAGAAAATACACCTGGTTAGTGGGGACAGGTGAGAGAAAATACACCTGGTTAGTGGGGACAGGTGAGAGAAAATACACCTGGTTAGTGGGGACAGGTGAGAGAAAATACACCTGGTTAGTGGGGACAGGTGAGAGAAAATACACCTGGTTAGTGGGGACAGGTGAGAGAAAATACACCTGGTTAGTGGGGACAGGTGAGAGAAAATACACCTGGTTAGTGGGGACAGGTGAGAGAAAATACACCTGGTTAGTGGGGACAGGTGAGAGAAAATACACCTGGTTAGTGGGGACAGGTGAGAGAAAATACACCTGGTTAGTGGGGACAGGTGAGAGAAAATACACCTGGTTAGTGTTGTGTTTGTTACCTGGGTTTTGTTGCGGCAGCCTCTGCATTCGTAGGTGTGTGTGCGTGTGTTGGCAATGGCCATCAGTCCACACAGGTTACAGACGTGCACCTGATACGGATCAGACGCCTCGAACAGACGCTCTTTGAGGAACTGAGCCGCGCCGTGAGCGATCTGACAATCTCTCTCCATCTCACCGAACCGCAGACCGCCGTCACTGAGGGGGAGACAGAAGAGAGGAGAGACAGGTGAGTCAGGGGGGAGAGGTGAGAAAGAAGAGAGACAGAAGAGAGAGGTGAGAGAGGAGAGAGAGGTGAGAGAGGAGAGAGGAGAGACAGAAGAGAGAGGTGAGAGAGGAGAGACAGGAGAGAGAGGAGAGACAAGTGAGAGAGGAGAGACAGGTGAGAGAGGGTGAGAGAGGAGAGACAGGAGAGAGAGGAGAGACAGGTGAGAGAGGGAGACAGGTGAGAGAGGAGAGAGAGGAGAGA